AAGTCTAGTGTCTCCTGTGAATGTATATGAATACGAGTGGGTAAAAAAGGCAGGGAGGAAGAAACAAGGAACATTTTGAAAGAGATACATGCTTGTCCACACTGGGAGAGAAAAGAACAAGATTCTTACATTCATTTTTGATGATGCACCAAAATTGCAGTCTATCAAACTTCTTCAAATTATGATAACATTAACCAGGGCTCAAGCTATAACCAGACCGATGATACGGCAGCAATCACAAAAAAAGCCTCATTCCGTAGCAATGTTATTTCAAATAGTCAAATCACCTCATTTTTCAGTGGGTTAATCACAGATCTTTGTTGGAAAAGGACCTTTCAAGATGTAAAATACTACACCCGAGAGGTGGCATGGCGACCCTTGAGGGGAGGGAAAACAGATACTCAGATCAACCTTGGCCACAGCATTTACTTTTGGAGAAAGAAGAGGACCCGAGGCTGCTGTGTGAACTTGCTATTTGAAATAAAAGACCCTGAGAAAGAACAAAGCAATCAAGGAACTGGAGATTACAGCAGAGGTGATAGAAACACTGGTGTTCCTAGTGAAGGATCAGGGATGAGGTTCACCTGGTAAGTGGAATGACAATGAAGTCATTTAGGATGAAAACAAAAGGTGAGGAAGCTTACTATGTATGAGAATGAGAAGTGCCACCATGTGTCACTTAAAGGTCAGTCCTAATTTCGTTCAGAATGCTGACACTGATACACTGGATAAATGTCTCCTCAGACTCTCCCTTTACCTTGTATCTATCGTTGTAAAGACAGCGTGGAAGGAGATATTTGAATAATCCAAAAGAATCTTCAGGAATTATAAAATCAACATAATTTATTTATTATACCAAGGAACACTCTGAAAAAGTTATGTTGAATGCAAACATACAGAACTCATAACTAACTGTCCCTTTTAATTTTTCATCAAATATCTTTCTGTTTAAGGAAGTACAAGATCAACAGCACAATCCTAACCTTAATCTCACTCTTATTTATCACGATCATATTTAAAGATCTAATCTGTGTGTCCTGTAACACTGCTATCAATAATTGCTATATAATGAACTCAGTACACTACACCAATAAATCTCAGAGACTTTCCTGGGGAGCTTACTAAAATGTAGATTCTTGTGCTCCACCCCAGAGCAAAGGAAATAAAATTTGTGGCGATGAGGCTTTGGAATACAAATTAAGATCTCAAAGTAATTCTTAAATAAACCACGGTTTGGGAACCACTGTTTTAAATTTTGCCCTTGGAGAGAATGTGTTCCCACATGGGAGTCTGATCTGTATCTGTTCTTTGAGACCCAGCTCAGCGGTTACCTTCTCCAGAAAGATTTTTCTGAACTCCACATTGTACTCAGTCCTCTACTAACTAAACTTGTATTGTTTTGTGGCTGTCTCCTGGCCATAGAATGCAAGCGCCATGAGGAAAAAGACTGTCCAAAAATTTATTATCTCAGTATCTGTAGCACTTAGAATAACAGCATGGCACACAGTAGGTACTCTAATAAGTATTTTTGAAATGAAGGAATAAATAAACCCATGCTTAAGAAAGGGCGCAGAAGAAATGTAAGGAAATTGCACCGACAACACAAGTCTTTCCTCTCATCACTGACATTGGCAAGATATAGGCTAATGATACAGGCTGTCCACTTCACAGAGCAGAAAGGTGATCATCTCCAATGAAAACATCTTGGATGTCCAACAGTATACAAGAAGTAGAATAAATTAATACACTTTAATTTAAGTACAAGCTAAACTGGCAGAGTAAGTGAAATCACCAAGTCTTTGAAAACCAAAGTCCTCTACAAATAAGACACCAAAATACCATGTGTCCTGAGAAGAAAAGCAATCTCTAATCACCTTTTCTCCTTTGCCTTGCATTTCTCTTTCCCAAGCCGTTTCCTTCTCTCTTCTTTTTTTCTAGTTCTGCCATTCAGCTGAGGCAGGTGGGGTTATTGACGAATATACTGTTGTCCCGTTTTTTTTTTTTCCCCAGCCAGTAAAGAGGGATGCAGCTGCAAGAATCATAGCACGTGTCTTAGGGTCGTTTATACCTGTGTTCTAATTCCAGTTCTACCGCTCACTCACTGGATGATGACCTTGGGCAAGTCTGCATAACCTCCATGCTGCCGTTGCTTTATCTCTGAAATGTTGGTAATATTACTTACCTTGTAGTATTGTTGTAAGAATCAAAGTAATAAATTACTGTGCTAGATCTTAGTAAGTTATAGCAGTTACCACCATCATTATTATGCATTTTGGTGGACACATGTTTTCAAGATTTTAAAAAATGCTTCATAGCGTGTTTGACTTTGTGCTCAATACTGAGAGTGTTTGGTGATGGTGATACTGATGGCTACCTCCAGCACTGGCCATGGATGAAATGGGGATGGTGAACGGGGGAAAAAAGAAGTCTTAAATAATAATTATTAATGTGAGATAATATAACAACTATGAGAGAACAACCTCTATGAATTGTCTAGTCTATGTATGAAAGTGGCAATTTTATGTAAGTAGCTTTGTGTTACTTCTTCATATCTGGATAAGGACCTTCAACAAAATTTGTTGGTGACTGGTGCTCTTAATTCATCTAAAATTGATACCTTCACATAGCCTGTCTCTCAGCTCACTTGGAAAACTGTGATACCATTTGGTCTCCAACTCATCTTGAAGAACACCCACAATTCTATGGCCTCTTCCCCTATTGGTGCTACCTTACTCTGTAATCCTTGATTACACTTCTGATTCAAATGAAAAGTAAAAAATGATGATGGTATCAAGAAAATAATTTTACATATAGCCCTAGGTATCTGCACCGGGCTGGAGGAAGCTGCCCTATAAGGCCCCACACTTCGACACATGCACATTCGTCAGGGTAGTTTAGATATTTTCTCATTGGTTTTCTTTTTTGAAATTGTGGTCCCATTTGTTATTTTTGTCACTAAATATAACATTATTGAGAATTCTCTGGATGCATAGTTAAGAAAATATGCAAATGGATTTCACACAAAATGTGGATTGTACAGAAGACACAAGACTACAGAAGGAAACTTCTGAAAGGTACAAGGATATTATTCTAAAACTCTTTGCTGATTTGCAATACACTTTGTTTCCTGGGCAGTAATAAATGACTACATTTTGCAGCTCATTTGGGAGACAAATAAAGTCTGTAATTTCAGGCTCAGGAATTACAAGAATGCCAGTCAATTGCTGTATTTGGACTATCTCCTTTTATTATAAAACTTAGGGGATTTTAAGAAAACAATAAGAAAGTGGGCTATCTTTCTCAGGTTTCTGAGACAACACCTGCTACCCACCAGTGGGCCCCTATTTTCTGTAATTACTGAGATACAAAATTTTGCCTTTAAGCCTTCATGCAAATTCAAGCACACAAAGAGCAGCAGTACCACCTTGTACATTAGCTTCAGTAGAGTGAAGTGGGTCTCTTGAGTCTTATTTAATCTTTTTCTAAAAGAAGAGACAAACTTTTGGGAGTAATGACTATAAGTTGTGTCAATCCAGCACAAAAAGACATGTATTTTGCTGTGTGAGGAGGAGAACGGCAGCAAATAGCACCTCAAACCAAATGCAATTTCTAGTAAATTATACATAGAGAGGAAAAATAATCTATAAACTTGATAAATGTTTTCCTGCTTCATTATTAAAAAAGTCAGGGCAACTTCATCTCTCCATACATGCATAGGTGTGTGTATGTGTACATGCGCACACGTGTCTATATAGGTACACACACATACTTCATTATCTTTGAGGACTTGGTAGCTGGGGTGGAAATAGGGTCCTTCTTGAAAGTTTTTAAAATTGTTATTTAATTTTTAGGCAGTATTGGATTTGATACTTATACCAGGCAAATCCCCAAAGATACATCAGCACACACACACAATTCTGGGCATGGTCTGGAGAAAGACAGATTTAACAGTAACGGCTACCTAGGTCTTATCTTCACTGCAGGAAAAAAGCACCAAGCTGGTTTATAATGGTGCGATTGGGCTTTGTTATAGCTACAAATACTAGTGACAACTCTTTTCATTAGAAAGATTCCAGTTGTTAGCAATGCAGTCAGTTGTTTCAAAGCCAGAATGGACACCTGTAGCATCAAATGCCTAAATCTAATTTCTCAGTAAAATCTATACCACCCCCTCCAATCTCGTTCCATACTGCTGCTGAAAATACTTCCATGAGATATGCCATTTGATTTATGTTCTAACTTTATAATCTAACTCACTTATAAAACACCCTGGAAAAAGCTGATGAATGTAACAATAAAAGAACAAACTTTTCCCTTTAATGGACTCTATAACATTTATTCTTAAACCTCATGTCATTCAGTATAACATTTGTATTTTACCTTGTAAGTCATGTGTATGAATGCATAGAGCTGCCATTTTTTAAACTAAAAAATATTAGGAGTTCACCGTCTTTTTGGATTTCTTTTAAGGCCTTTCAGTACAGCCAGGTTGAAATAATAGTATCTATGCATGGTGTTGTTATTATGGTAATAACAAGTCCTAGCTTACAATAATATACAGTAATTAGTTGGGACTAGGAACAATGATATACTGCTTTTTAGTAATTGGCAAATAGTTTGTTTTGTCTAGTTTAACTAGAAATGAGAAAGAGAAAAATATTTTCTTATATACAAAACACACTCTATTTAATAAAGTATATGCATAAATTATATATTGAGTAAGAAGCAAAATTAAAAACAGCTTATAATATTCCTGATCAATCAGAGCTCCTAAATATAAAAGCAACAAATGAAAATGCCTTGTGATGTAAAAAACAGCCCATTTTACATACTTCAGAGGAAATAAACAGCTTGTGATACTGTTCTGAGGAATCTTTCATTTATAAAAATCGAAGGCCTAATTTTGCAAATACAACCTTCAAGCTGTACGAGCAAACTGAACTTACATGAAAGGCACAGGATGACATCACATTGAACGCATCTGTGAATTTCATAAAATCTAGCCACAAGCCACTAGAAACTCCATAAAGAATCTGAGGACTATTTTGAACATGATGTTCTGGTTCAAACTGAGAACTGGAGAGTCCTCATATCACAAATACAAACCGAAGTCGGAGTGAAGGAGATTCAGAGAGAGAAGAGCTTCTTATCTGGATGCTGCCTGCTTTGTGCAGTGCTGGTTACTAAACACTAAGAGCAGATCATTAAAATTTTCTTTAATGTAAATTGTTTTCAATTTTCTATAGCTTATCTACTACATTTTTTTAGTTTGTAAAAAATGTACTTGCACATTACTACAATTTTAAAGAGTCAATCATTGAAAGGAAATTGTAATGTAAGGTCCTGTTCTATTAGCTTCCTACATTGGAATACGAGAATACAGGAAGTGCTTTCAACAGAAAGTTACGTAGTTCTACAGTACAACCTGTCTAGGAGACTTGCAAGGGACCAGTACAGTGACCTGGTCTCTTTGGATCAGGCAAAAGCAGAGGCAAATGAAGTCATGAGTTTAAAAAATAACATTAAATTATTTTTACAACAATGAAATCTCGCTTGCACTTAGACTTAGTGCTGAGAAGAACTGAGGCATGATGAACCTAAGTGCACAAAGGGAAAACATAAGAAATGAAACAATTTTCAACGTGACCGGAGCCCTTCGACATTAGCTATGACTTACGGCAGAGGTGGAGAACTACCTTCTCATATTAAAGTACATTTCAAACATCAGGGATGGGCCAGTCCAAATATGTTTTATGGATTATATGTAGTGTGATCTAAAATAGTGTTGCAACTAAAATTCTAATTAAAATCATTCATAATTTCGATTTTTCATAGAATAAACGACTGGCTCTTTTGCTAAAGTAAAATCAACTCCAACTCAAAAGCATGCCCTGAAAGCTCTGGAGGGCAGTTAATTTAACAACGACGTCATTAGTCTTTCCTCTTCCCAAACAATCTCCACCAGAGATGTAGCCTCTCTTCACTTATGTCAGTATTAGATACTCTACCACACAATTTAAAACATTTTGGTGGAATGCTGAAGGTGATTCTTCAAAGGAGAACTCTTCTAATGGTGGCTCGGCAAGGACAGCAGTGGTGCCATTGGAAATAAGGAGGCCCGGGCTGCGTGTGCGCGCTCTAACATCACGACTCCAGCAGTGCGTGCCATCTACACACTTGCTGTCCTTTCGACTCCTTCATTTCAGTCCAGTGATTGAGCTCCTCTTCTCCAGAGCTGTTCAGACCTAGCGCAATCCAGCCTATCATCTCTTTTCTTTTCATGCTGCGTTTGTTATACACGGACAGTATAAGTGTCACATCAGAAAGCTGAAATAGGGCCACTTGAAACACAAAAGTTTCCTTGTATACTGGATTTGGCTGCCCTCTGCGGATGGATGTCTTGCATTTAGACATTTCTTGACCCATGGAATTCAGTAGAGTTAATTTAACATATGTATCTATAGGGGAAAAAAACAACATACCACAAATATCATTTGAAACCAACTCAAAAGATCTTTCTTATAACATCTGCTGAGAAGATTAAGTATCTGTACTTTATAAGGATATGGTGTATACCATGTTTAATGGAAATTCAACTAATTCCATTTTGATGCAGATGCTTGTAAAACATGACAGGTACAGAGAATGCTAAGTGGGCAACAAATCTTTTGGGGGGCACTGATATCTCAACCTCGCTCTTTCTATGTTATGGTTAGAACTTAAAGGTATACCTCATAATCCTTCCTCCACCCTCCCACCCGGGGCCTTGACCTCCCACGACCACCCCACCAGCCCCGTCCCCGTCCCCGTTTAGCTTCACTAAGCAGGACATCATAGCATTAATAAACACTTAGCAAGCTCAATTAGCCACAACACTGTAAAGCATTCCACTGTGTTTTCAGAGAATAAGAATAAACAAACAAACAAACAGAAATGAAGGCAAATGGTAAAGAGGGTAAGAGGAAGACAAGAATGCAAAGATGATGTCAAAACAGCTTAGGATGAAATGTTAAAAAAATCTCTGCATGGATGTGGTTTTTAATTATATTTTCAAACCAGTTAAGGACCGAAATGATGCCAAATGCATTAAGGGCTCAAAGTTCAGCAAATCAAGTACAACTTTCTTCTGGTTTCATGCAGCAGTACATTTAATGTGCTTTTTGGATAGTCAAAATAAATACTATAGGATTCCTTTTGACACACTTCAATGTCAAATGTAAGCATGGTATCTTAACTATTTTCATGAGTATAAAAAAACTGATGTGATGTTTAGTGTCCAAAGTGAAACATGACAGGCCACACTGCCTGGGTATTTGTAAGGTAAACCCTCTCTTCGTACAACTGTGCTTTTAAGTTCTTTCGACTCATGCAAATGATCTTCAGCATGTTGATCCATCATGTGTACTTCATATCAGAATTTCGATTCATTTTCATGTAAATTGCAATATTTCTCATGAAGTAACTATTTCTGTTGTATGAATCAAAATATAATGAATGAAAAAATAAAACCTTTAATTTAAAAAGTTTTGCTTATTTTATACTCTGAATACCATCATCCATAATCAGAGATAAATTCTAAGTTAGTTTTATTTAAAGTACCACAGATAATAAATGTGCATTTTTTTGAAACCAACATGGTGGACAGCTTCACTGCTGGCAAGTTTTAGGGTATTTTGTTTTTGCATGAAAAGACAACATCCAATTAGCCTCTACAGGAACTCACCTCGGATTATATAAACCTGTCCACCTATCAAGTGTTTTAGACAACAGAACAGTCCATCTGACAACAGGGGGTGGAAAGCAGTAAAAGAAATAATGACCAGATGTCAATTGTTGGGTGAAAGAGGGTCAAAGGTTAGAATTAAAGAGGAAACACTGTTCACTGGAGTGGAAGAACACAAAACTTTAGCATTTTAATTCAGGTAGAGGGGTGAACAAAAGGATTGTTGGGTAAAGTTCATGAAATGAGACTTTTTAAGGTCACTGTGTAATCTTAAAGAAAAATTACCCTGTTTTAAAGGGGGGCATCTTTATAATGATATCTGCTTGGTCTAAAGCACATTGAACATAGAATCATGCAAATTACCAGACCATAAAAGACTGAATAAAAGTCATTATAGGATCATTATTCTTCTTCTGAATTTTTAAGTTTATCCATGCAATATTTAATATTTCAAATTCTTTTATTACTCTCAATATAAAATTAAGTAATGAAAAATAAAATAGAACTACCAAAAATTTTGCCCTTGAATATTGCTCGTTTTCTTTGAATAAAAATTGGATTATTTAATCTATAACGCAGTTCAAAACTTAGTGCCTAGGTATATACGAAGGGTCACAATCTTATATAATATATACAGTATAAGACCAAATGATAAAATTGTCTTATATTTTACTTTATAAATGCTCCATATAACTAATTTTAATGTTGACTTATTTCAGATAAACATATTGATACTGAAGACCTAATTCTAAAATAATGGCTATTGCTTTAATTTACTCTTTAAATCCAGAAAGATCTACTTTGTGTTGTGCATGCCTATCTCTTACCCTGTTTATTACCAGCCCCTGCCTCTACCCAGGCCCCTTCAGTTTAGTTCTGATTAGTGATTTCTCTGCTTCTATCAAAGTGGGTAGACCAAGGAGATAAAGGCAAACATATCATTTCATTTCACTACTTCTCAGCTTCTCAAGTTAAATGTTTGTCAAAAATTAAACCATTAGCTAAAGCAAGAATGAATGGCAAACTGATAGCTTGTGGCTAAACGCAACCCCAAGAGTATGTTATTTGTTACAGTGTTAATGTTTTTTCAGTCTGAATGTCTAAATGCAGGGTGTGCACACTCCCGTTTGTCACAGACCTCACCGGGCTCCTATCTTTCATCTACACATTCTGCTCATTTAAGTTACTTCCCAGGCCATTAGAATTTGCATTCTAAGTATGCATTAACTAAGATAACCAAGTAGCTGTTTATTCTACTGTTTCTTTCCCCCTTCTGACTTTCCTTCTGAAAAGAGAAAGGGGAGAATAACAATGTCCTCTTTTTATGCACCTTTATTTGATATGAGTCTCACAATTACCTTGTGAGAGACACACCTTAATTTTATGTGTAAGTAAACAGACTTTAGGGGAGTTAGGTCACTTGTCCAAGGGTAGAAATATAAACATAATTTGGCCTTCTGACTTTTAATTTAGGAATAGATTCACTTCACGATGTACATAAGAAGCAAGGTTTTTCAATACCACTTCAAGCAAACCAAATATGTACATGTGACTTCATTTTGATTGAAAAAACTTTTTAGGACATTTAGAAGTTAATTTATTTCAAGGGTGAAAAAGTTTCCCCTCCAATAATTATTTGATACATGGAGTAAAAGATTGCTTTAAGCAAATCTGAGAGAAATCTTTAAACAAATTTAAGGTGGCCATTACTATTGAAAATTTCCTTTCAGATTTTTAGTTTAGGACATTAACAGCTTTAATTTAGATGAGTACAAAGAAGCTGCTACTTTCTGAGTTCATTTCCACAGATATTAACAAATAGTTCTGGGCATATACTGGGTGACAATTTCTCTGCACTCCCGTTGACCTACCCACACCCCTCGAGCTGGGAGAGAGATAAGGAGACAAGAAGAGTGAGAGGCAGAGACAGGGCAGAGCTATACCATCTAGCTTTCAGTTCCTAGTGTTTAGGGTAAGTATAAAAATATTCCTTATTTGTTTGTCCTGGTGAAGCCAAAGTACATTCCATTTAAGAAGACTCTGGTGGCAGTACTGACTTATAATTTTAAAGGAAGAAAAATATGAAAAACAGTTTCTTCTTAAATTGTTAAGGGAGAAGAGGAGGAACAATGTAGAAATTTATACATTAGTTTATAGTTCTGCATGCAGACAGAAAACACAACATCAATCCTTAGTCAGTTGACAACGATAACTGTACATATTCCTGATCGTATCTGTGGAATACCTTTAACTTTAAAAGACCCTGTAACTCTTTTTCTGGCATTAGAAGATAATGGCTATATGACAGGGAGAATTTATTCCGTTGACATTAGAAAAATTAAAAGTGCTGATACCTTACAATTAATGATTTGAATTTCAAATTTTTCTACTTCCCAAATGACTGGAAATAGAAAAAAATGAAACAGATTAGCTGATGATTATTACACCATTTCATTTTGATCAGTTAAGACTAAATGATAGGATTGAAGTCCCTAACACTGAGATCCCCATACATGCAGAAAACATTAGAATTTAGAAAAATATTTTTCACTCACTGGGTGGTCTGTTTGCTGCCAAGTTTTTGAAGTGGCTGCCTTTTATGACTTCTGCTGAGAGTCTTCCAGTAGTGGCGTTGTAAAGTAAGCCAATGAGGATTTCTGGAACTGAGCCGTGTTCAAGAGACTGACATGAGGATGTACTTCCACTACAGGACACTTCGGACATGCTCATTTGGGAGTCACAGCCCTGTAATCGAAAGTGGAATCTTTACAGTACTTCATATAAAAGATAAATTGTTAATGCCGTGTTTATTGGAATTGGGCAAGTAAGCCACAATATAGATAGAAGTTGCAAGCAAAAGACCCAAACAATAGATTAGAAATGCTGTTCTTAGTATATTTTAGTCACTGGATCTCTTTTCATTATACAGCACTCAAAGGAATAACAGGTGATGAGGTTTTATAATCTCTGCATAGTTATGTACAAATCAGAGATTTCTTAAACTCATGGATGTTAATGAACTTTTTCTTAATGTAAAAATTGTTGTTTAAAGCCTTATTGACCTTCAAAGACTGACAGATTTATTAGACTCAATTACATTAAATGTAAATGTCTTAACAATGTCTTTAAAGACAAAGATCGGCACACTTTCATTAAATAAACAAGATAAAACCATCTTCTATTTATAAACCATTATATAAAACACAGAGATACAGACAGTTGAAAAGGACAGAAAAAACTATGAAAAAAAAAATAACCAGAGGAAAATTGGTGTAGGTCTATTAGTATTAGTCAAGGTTAGCTTTAAGGCAATACCCATTACTGAGAGACGAAGAGACACAATCAATAATTATAAAACTTTCAATTTACCTGGAAGATAAATTAATTCCATATTTGCATGCATTAATAACATGGGTTCAAAATATAGAAAGCAAAAATTGCCGTAACTAGAAAAAGATAAATTCACAACCAGTAGAGACTTCAGCACACTTGTTTTGGTAACTGACCAAACACGCAGACAAACACAGTGAGTGGATGTAGAAGATCTGAATGTCACAATAAGGGAATTGACCTAATGGTTGTATAGAGAACACCATACCTTACAGAATACGCATTTTCTCAAGCTCACAGTGAATTTTTTTGTAAAAATACACAAAAATAAAGCAAATAACAATGAATTCCAAGTAATGGAAATCATTCAGAATGTTTTTTAATCAACTAGAAATCGAAACTATTTTCTAGTGAAGAAACAATACCTATGTATTTGGAAATTAAGGATATAGTTCTAAACACCCTAGGGGTAACTAAATCATAATGAAAATAAGTTACTTGAAAACACTACTAAGATAAAATTTGGAGAGTCCAATTAAGCAAAAAAAGAGAAAAGGCACAAACCACATATCAGTAGTGAAAAGGGAGACATTACTACATACCCTATAGACCATAAAAAGGTAAAGCCATAGTATGAATATGTCTCTCCCAATAAACTGGAAATATCTAATTAGTCTTACTGAAAAAGTTGAATTTGCAATTAAAAACCTTTCCAAAATAAACAAGAAAAACAAAACTAAAAACTTTAGCTAGGTGGCTTCCCCAGTGAATTCTAATTAATAATGCTAGTCCTGCCTACACTCATCCAGATAGCAGGGAAAGAAGAAACACTCCGGTTTCCTTTGAGGATCTAGCAAAACCTTCAAACTAAAACCAGACACAGATATTATTAAAAATTACAGGATTTTTCATTCATGAACTTTGATTCAAAACCCTAACAAACAAGTAGCAAGCCAAATCTAACATCATACTTAACAGAAAAAAGCTGTGTTCAATGGGTATAAAGTTTCAGTCATGCAAGATGAATAAGTTTTAGAGATCTGCTGAACAACATAATACTCATGGTTAACAATACTGTACTGTACACGTAAAATTTGTTGAAGGGAGATGTTAAATGTTCTTACCACAATAAAAATAATAAAATGATATACAAGATAGGAGGCCCTGCTCTAGTATCAACATTTATTTTTTTAATTATACTTTATTGTTATTACAATTGTCCCAATCCCCCCACCTTTTCCTCCTCCACCCAGCATACCCCACTCCCTCAGGCAATTCCTATACCTTTGTTCATGACCATGGGTCACGAGTATAGGTTCTTTGGCTTCTCCATTTCCTATACTGAATTCTACAGCCAAATGGCTCTTCTGTAACTACCAATTTGTACTTAATCCCTTCATCTCTTCACCCATTCCCCACTCCCTCCCATCTGGCAACCATCAAAATGATGTCTTGTCTCCCTGATTCTGTCTCTGTTCTTCTTGTTTGCTTAATTTGTTTTTTTAAATTCAATTGTTGATAGATATGTATTTATCGCCACTTTATTGTTCATAGTTTTGATCTTTTTCTTAAGTAAGATCCTTTAACATTTCGTATAATAATGGTTTGATGATGATGAACTCCTTTAGTTCTTTTCTTATCTGGGAAGCTCTTTATCTGCCCTTTGATTCTGAATGATAGCTTTGCTGGGAAGAGCAATCTTGGCTGTAGGTCCCTGTTTTTCATGATTTTGAATATTTCTTGCCAATTCCTTCTAGCCTGCAACGTTTCTTTTGAGAAATCAGCTGACAGTCTTATGGTAATGTCCCCGCAGGTAACTGAATGCTTTTCTCTTGCTGCTTTTAAGATTCTCTATCTTTAACCTCTGGCATTTTAATTATGACGTATCTTGCAGTGGGCCTCTTTGCAACCATCTTATTTGGGACTCTGAGCTTCTTAGACTTGCAGGTCTATTTCCTTCACCAAATGAGGGAAGTTTTCTTTCATTATTTTTTCAAACAGATTTTCAATTTCTTGTTTTTTCTCTTCTCCTTCTGGTACCCTTAGGATGTGAACACTGGAATGCTTGAAGTTGTCCCAAAAGCTGCTTATACTATGCTAATTTTTCTGGATTCCTTTTTCTTCTTGCTGTTCTGATTGGTTGCTTTTTGTTTCCTTATGTTCCAAATCATTGATTTGATTCTTGTCTTCATCCACTCACTGTATGGAGGTTTCCTTGTAAATTGTTCTTTATTTCAATTAGTGTATCCTGTGTTTCTAACAGGGTGTTTTTTATGCTGTTGAGGTCCTCACTAAGTTTCTTGAGCATCCTTATAACCAGTGTTTTGAACTCTGCATCTGATAGATTGCTTATCTCCATTTTGTTTAGTTCTTTTTCTGGAGTTTTGATCTGTTCTTTCATTTGGCCATGTTTCTTTGTCTTGTTTTGGCAGCCCCCGTGTTTGTTTCTATGTACTAGGTAGAGCTGCTTTGACTCTGTGTCTTGGTAGCGTGGCCTCATGTTGTAGGTGTCCTGTAGGGTCCAGTGGCACAGCCTCCCATATTACACAAGCTAGGTACTTGAGGTGTGCCCTTCATGTGAGCTGAGTACTCCCTCCTCTTGTAGTTGAGCCTTGATTGCTGTTGGTGGATCAATGGGAGGGCCAGTCAGCTGCAAGTATTGGCTGTAACCACTTACTACCAACCTCTGCCCTCCATGGAGGATCAGCTGTGCAGGGGTGGGTGGTGGGGCTCTGCTGCAGTTGGGCTCTGCTGCGATCTGTAGCTGTCTGCTGGGTGCGTAGGCTCTGGGGTTTCCATTGTGGTGCAGGCCCAGGTCAGCCCTGACCTGTGTTTTGCCTGGGGTCACCCTGCCTGAGCTATGAAGGAATCTGAGATGGCTGCCTACTTGTGCAGGGCTTGTAGATTCTCAGGTGAAGCCAAGCTGTGAATATAGCATAGCTGCTGCTAGTGTTGGGTCTGGGGCCATTTAGCAAGTAGTAGGGGGGCCTGGGGCTCACTGAGGCGAGCTATTGCTTTTTTGAGAGGATTTAAGAAGTTATGATGCATGAGCCAAGACCTTCATAAGGAAAAGCAGCGTGAGTGGGCCTGTAAGCTGAGTGGGATGGAGTCTTTGGGGATCTCCAGGGTGGGGCAAACAGTGTTAGCCAGGTTGATGGAGTTCCAGATATGACACCAGCCTACTGGCTCTGTGGCTCTGAGGGGAGGGTTCAGAAAAGAGACAAAAATCTCTGCCCATCTTTCTGTCCGGGAGAGAGCAGTCCCCCAGCTCTCCCCTTGATGCCAGACACTTCCATTTCTCCCTGTATTCCCACTGGTGCCTTTCAAGCTGCTATCCCAGTGCTGGAGCTCAGAGGGTGTGTCTGATTAAGTCCATGTGTGGGTTCCTTAAGAGGAACTACTTGGGACTCCAGAAGTTTCTGCCACCGACTAAATCCCTGTTGGCTAGAAGTTAGGGTGACTTATCTTCCTGGCACTGGAACCCTGGGCTGGGGTCCTAATGTGGGTCTCAGATTCCTCACTCCCAATAAATCCTTCCCAAATTTTTAGCCACCACACATGGACGTGGGAGCAGCCTATTCTGTGTTTTCACACCTCCTACCAGTCTGGATGGATGTGGCTTCTTTAATTCTGTAGTTGTAAGACTTCCATTCAACTTGATTTCTGACAGTTCTGAGTGATGGTTGTTCTACATTTTAGTTGTAATTTTAACGTGGTTATGTGAGGAGGTGAGCCATGTTTACCTACCTCAAAATTATTATAAAGCTATATTATTTCAGACAGTCACAAAAAACAATGTAGAACAGACTAACAGAATAGAAAGCCCACAAATTAATTGATGTATATATAGACACTTCATTTACAATGAATGTGGAACTCCAAGGAGGAAAGGATAATCTTTTTTAATTAATAGTGGTAAGAAACTGGTTATCCACATAGAACTAAATGACAAACCTGTCTCAAAATATACCAAAAATTCAATTCTGGATCTAAATGTAAAAGTTAAAATAACTTATCTAAAAATTAACATAGGGACTGTGTTTATGACTTTTGGGTAGGGAAAGGATTGCTAAAAAGGACAGAAAAGCATTAATCATAAACCAAAAGTTTGGTGAATCCAATAACATTAAAATTAAGAATTTTTCAGCTTTGACAGAGACTTTTAGGTTGGTGAAAAGGCAAACAATCACGTGGGAGAAGAGATCAGTAATACATATATTTCCATAATTAGCTCAAATCCAGAACATATATAGAACACCTAAAAATCAGTAAGAAAAAGACAACATAATATAAAAACAGCCAGACAATTGAACAAGCAATTTCATAAAAGAATGACCGATAGCTATATGAAAATGATGCTCAACTTCATTAGTATTCAAGGAAATGGAAATTGAAGCCATTGAGGTAACACTACC